GGCTTTGATTTGTCTGTCCTCTCTCTTCTCTGTGGGAAAGGACATAAATATCTGTCACCACTAATGAAAAAGGAGTGTGTTGCTTGATTGTGGGATATATTTAGCATTGTAGGGTTGTTAAGAGCTGGAGGGTTGAAGCAGGATGGCTGCTGTGGGCAAACCAGCCCCAGCTCTGTTGTGACCTGCTCCCTGCAGAACTCTGGGAAGTGTCTTGGTGGGGTTTGAAGCCTAAATAAAGGAACTGCTTGATATTGAGCCCATTTGGATTGTTTTATACTGGCATGAGACTTCCAGCTATTAGTGAGTTAAGTGTTTCAGAGGAAAAGGGCACCTGCACTGAGTGTTATTAAAGAACCAATGTTTTAACAGCTGAAAATACTTAATGCCATCAAGAAAGTCCATTTTCTGGCAAACAGGGCCTTCAGCAGCCAAGTGGCATCAGCTGGGTCTGGTTGGGAGGAGCTTTGCCTCAGACAGGCCAGGAATCCAACATTGTCCCCAGGAGTGGGAGGTGAGGACTGGGCTCTGCAGAACCTCCTCTCCATGGGAAGGTTCACACCCCTCTTTAGATCCTTGGAAAACTCACACAGAAAAAAAAAAAATCACACAGAAAGCTGGGAATTGTGGTGAGCAGCTCCCCTTTTCTCTCCTAGGGAAACTTCTGAATCAGGGGTTGAATTTTCCAGAAAAAAAAAGATTAAATCATTGGTTATTGTGATATTCTGAATCATTATCAGAGCCTTCATTCTTTCACAGATATTCCTGTTTCTTCTTTCCCTCACCCTTTTTAAAAGATATTTTATACCTCCTTTGTGCCTTCCTTTAAGGATATTCCTTTTCTTTAAGTCTTTTCCCAGCTCCATTCCTGTCCTGGTTCCTTTGGGGATTACAGACTCCACAGACAATTTTGAGGTGGCCACCTATCCTTGCTTCATTTAAAAACGGGATTTGTTCTGTCACTAAGCAATTTTCACCTCCAAATATCTTGCAATAATTTCCCACACAGGAAGTTTGGCTGGAAAAGCTGTTTCCCAAAAAAAGTGGGAAAATAATGAATCGATTTTTTTTTTTTTTTTTTTTTTTTTTTTTACATTTGACCAGCTCTGGGAAATCAAAGCTCTTCTGAGAAATTCAGGGTAAAACATTATTAAATGAGGTACTGGTGATACACCTTTTGATCAGCTCTGCTGAAAGAGAGTCTGTGAACCAGCCTGACCTCCACTGTCTCCTTTGGATAACCCCGTGACACGAGGTTTGCTGGGAGAAATGGAACAAGATTAATAATTAATACGTTTGCTGGTGTCTGAAGCAGCGACACGAGGTTGGCTTTAGACACATGTTTTATTAATGAGATTTGAAAACAATTGCAACAGACTGCTCGAAGCTTTAGACTGGGGGGAAAAAAAGAAAAGGGAATATTTGGGTTTTTTTGGTTGTTGCTGTTGTTCCCTCTCCTCCCCAGGGCATTGACAGAAGGTCACTGCCTATAAACGTTGTGGAAAAAAAGACTGAAGTTGTGAAACGGGGAACAAAGATAAAATCAATTTAAAATCATCTCAAGGCACAACGTGCTCGACCTGATGGGGCTGAAATGTGAAATATTTCAGAGCTGATTTTTCAGAGCTCAAAGATGAGATGTTTCAGAGTGTGGCCCCCACTTTTACACACTGGGGAAGGAAAAAGAGGGTTTCTCTGTTAATATAACCAACTATCACTGTTGGTTATGTTTTTATGCCTTAATTACACCTCATTAACTATAAAAAACTCAAAACCTAATTTTTGCAGCGTTCCTCCCCGCCCCCCGTTGTAACCACCTGCAGGATGACAATAAACCCACTGTCCTAAAGAGTGGGAACACCTTTATTAAGTGAGAATAATTGTGCTCATCTTTCTTGACCTTTCAATTTTCAGATTTTTCATTCTTGTTCCCGAGGAAAGCAACCATCAGATGTCTGGTTTTGTTATTAATATTTACCAGGAATGTTGGGGTTTTTTTTAGAAAAAACAGTGCAGAAGTCAGTGAAACCTTTTGAACAGAGTCACCCATGATATTTTAATTACCCAATAAATTATCATCCATGTGCAGAATTAATAGGAAAATAATGTTCTAATAAATATGAGCTTCCCAACTTACATGCAAATTGAAGCTTTGCCTTCCTGCTCAGAATTGTTCCAAATGAATTTGTGGCCAAACACTGGTATGTTCCAATATCCTGATTTTTATGTGGGTTATTGATTGCCAAGCTGCCTCCAACCAACCTGTAGTGATAACTCATGGTAAGATCAATATCTGTGCCATTTTGCTTCCACCTTTGAGGGGAAAAAAATCAAATTATGCTTATAATTTACAGAGCCTATTCATATTTATCTTAAATAGTGTGCTGTAGCATACCTGTAATGATAAAAATGGAGTTAAATATCACAAAATTATATCATTTTTCACACCAGACTGCTCCTTACATCAATCTTAATGATAGCAATAATTGTATTCCTTGGAAAATCTTTACTGTTAGTCACCAATGTTCACCCAAATGTCCAAAAAAGTAATTATAACTTATTCATACAAACTGAGTTATCCATCCAGTTGGGAGGGAGGTTATACCTTGACTACAGCTGTAATTTATTTTTTTTTATGATATGAATGTGCTTTTCAGTCCTTAAAACTTTATGATAAATCAGAAAGTTGGCTCCAAAAATGATCTGGAGATATAGATCAGGAAGGTTTCACTTCAGAGGGCACAACAAAAGCTGAGAGAGAAGTTTTTATGATAATTTAATGATGAGAACGCTGCTATTTTAAAACCTAATTTGCCCCTTAGTCCACTAAGCAGAAAATGGATTGTGTCTGCAACATTACACAGCTGCTTACAGATGTCAAAATAAAATCTGTGTTTCAAAGAAAATACATAATTCAAGAAGGGGGATTTTGTAGCTTTACCATTATCACATTAGGGCTGAATTTTCATTGCCCACACGAGGCCCAAAGGAAGAACAAGGGAGTCAACCACTGATATCTGCAAGTTTGGGGGTTGTTGATGGCACTTTTTTGATTGTCACAGCTCTAAGATTACGCAAATATGGTTTTTTTCCCGTGGTTTTATACATCTGTATCATTTCTGTTGACTCTGTGGGTGTGATGCCAACCCCTCCTTAGGATGCAAACACCCCACGAGAGTTGCCAGTGGCTCACTTTGGGTTGGTGGCAGTGCCCAAACCGAGGGCAATCAACTCTGAGTTAATCACATGAAGGGTCACAGCAGAAAAATTGTCTGGTTTTGGCTATTTGCAGAGTTCCTGACAGTGGTGGCAGCTTCCCCAGGTAACACATTGAAGGAAACCTCCTTCATTTCTCTGGGTCTCCCAATCACTGCCTCTCCTTCCACAAATTCATCAACACTGAGAAACTCAGATGTGATAACAGCTGACCAGCAGCAATTTGATTTTTGATGGTTTTGTGTCTCGGCTCTATTTGTTTTTTTAATGTTTTGCTGAAGTTGGTTTTGCTGTTGTTCTAGGCTATTTTGGCTTTTTAAATTATTTATTTATTTCAAAGATGAGGAAAATCTCATCAGGTGCTTGCCCATGAGTGTGTTCTCTGTCCCAGCCTCAAGATTTTGCCACATTTCAGGATTTCCATATGTTCCATGCTGTCTAAAGCTTTCCATTTTCTAATCTGAGAGATTCTGGTATTTAGTTTGCCAGTTCTCTTTAATTTCAGAATCAATCACTGAAATAACTGCTGTCATCATTACATGGCTCCCAATTAAGATCTATAATTGTTTTTCCAAACAAATGCAAAGACATTGGCTTGGTTGCTGCAAATGAATTCTTCACAGTATCCCCATAATCATTTTAATCACCACGGTACAATGATTATTAAACTTTGCATATAGATCAGGGGTTCATCTCCTGGAGTGGGCTTTTTCCTAATTAATATGTTTACATCACCGAAGGAAGGGAATTAATGAATTCATGGGGTAGGCAATGATTTAATGGCTCTGTGTGTTTTGCAGTTTACTAATACACAGAATTCTTTGAAGAATTATTTTAGGGATATTTTACTAAAAACTTGTTAAGGCAGGGGTCACCTCCGTATTTTCCCAAAGTTCTTCATGCAGCCATTGGAAAATACTTCCATCAGTTATAAAAATACATCCAGACCAATTGTTGCAGAACTTAAATTTAAAAAATATTCTATATTCTGATGCTGAATTCATCAGTTCCCAAGGAACACGAGGAATGTGAGTGGATATATGCTTACATGATTTAATAAATTATCTTTTCAGTGTACTATAATAAAAATAGCAATATTTTTAAGATTTCATTGCCTTCTATGTTTCTTAAATTATTTGCATTCAAATGCAACTGTCCTGCCAAGTCACCTGAGGCTTTCTTGTAATTGGGGAAAAGATTTGCAAACCCTCCCTTAACATACAACATTTCCATTGAGGAAGAAAAGAGGAAATTTAAAAACTATTGACTGTGAACAAAAGAGAGGTGGAAGGAGTTTTTAATTCTACCTCATTTTTGAGGCAGAACCTGCAATAAGCCAAGGAATTTCAATGAGAGCAGGGCTGGAATTTGTTTTTCAAGGCTATGAATAAACAACGATATTTTGGAATTGCTGGGAATCATTCTACAATTTTCTGCAGTGATTATAAACATATGTGATATTTACAATCATTGTAGACTTTGTCACATGTGCTCTGCTTCTTTTTTCCCATTTTTTCCCCGTGGATCCAGAATTAATTTTTTATATTTCAAAATACTTTGGGGATGATTTTCAACCATGTGGTCTTTTTTTTTTTTTCCCTGGGTGAATTTTCTTAGCAGCAGACCAGGAAATATGTTTTTTCCCTAAATTTACTCCATCCATGAACATTCCTGCTGTGAGAGCTCCGTGCATTCGATGGGATATAAAAAATGTTTACTCCTGACTAAAACCCAGCTCAAAGATTTACAGTGAGACAAGACTTGCCCAGAGCTGACTTCACCTGTAGTGGGGGGGTGGATATCCTTCAGCTGTGCAGTTCAGCAGGATCTCTGGATTTGCTGAGCCCATGGAATAAGTGATATCATGTGGCTCTTGGATAAAAATAGGACCATGAAGGGTTTCTTCCCCTGTGAAAGAAAAACAATAATTTAAGATTAGATGTCTTCAGCGTGTCCTTACACATAAAATTGTCCTTTGGAGTCCTTTGCTCTCAGTCACAAGTGAAGGTCTGCTCTGATATTCAGCTGAGGATCCACCTCCAGACATTTGACTATTAAGGAGGAAATATTTCAAGGCTGATTGATAATAAAATCACAGATCCCTGGTGCTGGTGATTTATTTTGCAGGTGACAGTGGAGATTGGCTCCTCTGCATATTTCCTATGGAAATTATAAGGCCAACTATTAAACAGCCCCATCTACCTCATGGTTGTTCTTTAGACAACAACTGGCAGCAGGAAAGGATGGAATTGGGGTTTCTGTGGTTGGTGCTCCCAGGTCACATCACAGTCTAATGGAATCAATCACCTCCTTCTCCTCCAACCCTTCACACCCTTTGATATATTATTTTATATACTTTAAACAGCCTGGCTCCAGGGTTTGGTTTGGGTTTGTTGGGTTTTTATTTAGTTGGTTTTTTGTTTGTTTGCTGACTGGATTTGGGGCTTTCCCTCCCCTCCCCCTCCTTTTTGGGTCCTTTTAAAAAAATAAGTGGCATTAAATAATCAGCCTTCATTTCCTACTTGCAAAACCCGAATTATTTCTATTTTTCATGGTGGTCTTTCTTGGTGTGGGGAGTAGAGGAGAAGATCATTTGTTCAGTAAACTGGGGGACAAAGAGCAACTCTCAGAGGTGGTGGTTAAATTTCTTTTTTTTTTTTTTCTGGCTGTTCTTCTGGTTTTAATCCCTTGACAAATTTAAAGACTTCCTTTTTCAGTGATTCTACAACTGACCCTTTGACTTGTCTTTGCTTTGGGAGGAATTTTCTTCCCTTCTGAGTTAATTTCCTGAGTCCTCTTTACCTTCCCAGCCTTGCCAGTGAAAAGCTTTTGTGAAGCATCCAAACGACCCAGAGATGATTATTCCACATTTTAAATCAATGTAACTGGGTGGGCCAGGGCTGAGGTACCTGATGTACATAAAAATCCCCTCTTCACCTCATAAAAATGTAAATATTTTGGTAAATCTGGAATTAATTTCCACTGCTTTGTTCTAAATGGAATTTCGACTCATTTATCACCTGTAGACTATTGAAGATCTTAATTCTTGTATCCCCTTTCCATGTCCTTAATGCAGGAGACCCTTCACGTGTGAAAAAGGACAAAATATTTTGCAGGTGCTCAAACAGCTCCTTCCCAGTGTCACAGTCCCCATGACAAAAATGCTCTCCATGAATTTTCGTAGAGGTACCTTCTTGCTATCAGTTTGTTTTCTCTTTAATATCCTTTTCTTGCAGCAGAGAATAACACCAAATTTGTGAGAAATGATGTGCACTTTCAGAGCCAGTGGTGTCCTAGGAGTCCATCTCTTTTTTGTAGAAAAGGTCAGGCTGGTCATTTCTAATTTCCTGACACATCCTTTTGTGTTTCCTAGAGAGAATGGCCCCATATTTCTGCCCCATTCTCCAGATTCAATACAGTCCCCATGATTTCTCTAGAGATATATATGACAAATGAATCTTTGTAGGGTTGTTTATTTTTTTTCAAGATTTAAATAATTCAGATTTTTTTTTAAATCTCTTGGAATATTTTATGAAATGTCTCATTTTTATACATAAAAATCGTGTGAATCCTCAGCGTGGTGCTGGAAAGCAAACATAAACTCTTGTTACGAGATGTTTTATAAGAAGTTTAAACTGTATTTCTTTATGATACCAAATCAGTTTGATCTCCATAAAGACCATAATTATGCCAGCCTGAATTCAAATGTAAAGGATGAAAATGAATCAACATTCCTCCATTCATTACACGATATTGTCTTCAGCCAATGCAGAGATTAACACGGTGCCAATGGAAGAGGAGGATCCCTGTTTTTTTCCATAATTATCCATCAGCAGGGGGGATGACAGTGCTTCCCTTTCACTGCTTTGTGGGCAGTGGTGAGTTATATCAGGCTGTGATATTGGAGTCAAATGTACTTAAAGAGGTTTTAGTTAGTCACAATAAATATTGAAATGTTTATCCACCGTCTCATCCAGAGGAGGAGAAAAAAAGCACGATTCACATTCAATCAGCTTAATTTCCAGCCAGATCTTTCTCCCTGTTCTTTCCTGTTGTCCAACTCTGGTTGGCTTCAGATTCAGCTCCTTCTAAGGTTTCTGCCCAGCTGGAAATGCAAAGTAACACAGCCTGAGAGCAACTTAGGCTGGCCCAGCCCCAGGCTCAGGGTGCGTATAGATAACTCAGGGGAACAATATTATAAACCAGCTGACTTTTATCCCTTTCCTGCCACAGATCTTCCTTCCTATTCTGACTTTTTGCAAGGTGGAGTTTTAATTACCGTTACTCAAACGGATCAGTAATATCAGAGAAATTTGGTTTGGTGAACCTGAGAGTGTCCTGTATCAACATTCTCCGTTTGAAGAGGGAGATTTTAGGTTTGTCTAGGCCAAACTCAAGAGGATTCATTGCTCCAGGACCAGAAAAGGACAGATCTGTTGGGCTGACAGCTCCAAAGTCTGCAGTATTTGCAGTTTCTGTGACCATTTCTCTTGCCATGATCTTTTGTGGAGCTGTGGATGTTTGGGTGATGTTTTGTGGAGCTGAGCTCCTCACTCAGAGGTGATGAGCCCTTGGGGGTGTAGAACAATTTAGGTCTTGCATTGGAGAATCCCAAATTTGTGGTGAAGATTGTGAAGGTGAGGAGGCCCTGGCACAGGTTGCCCAGAGAAGCTGTGGCTGCCCCAGCCCTGGAAGTGTCCAAGGCCAGGTTGGATGGGGCTTGGAGCAACCTGGGCTAGTGGAAGGTGTCCCTGCCCATGGAACTGGCCCCTCCCAACCCAAACCATTCCATGGTTCTACATGTACTATATCAGTGAATCCTCATGGAAGATCACAAGGATAAGGAGACCGGAATAACAGTAAGATCCCAGCTCTAAAAAGCTTCTAAATGCAAAACTGCTGTAATTCATATAAGCAAACCAGATAAGGAGGAATTTATCCAGGCTATTAAGTTCCAGGAAGGCTGTAAATTCCAGGGGTAGTGAGTTTCTAATGAATCTTTCTTAATGTGCCTTAGATAGAGCTTCATATCTGATCCAAAACATTAATATGACTTTATGGGCCAAAGCTGACACCTGATTAAGAGGCCTCTTTTAAATCAGCTGGATAGTAAAACACCTGTCAATTCTAACAAAAAGGATGGGACAGGTGAGTTGGACACTTCCTACTCCTCGTGACAGCAGAAAAATTATGAAAAATCCAAATTCCTTCAAAATCTGTTTAATTTTCTTCGCAGCTGAAGTCATTGGTAATTCTTAATTGGAAGAGGGGGAGTTTATAGGGTCCATGGCATGGATAGCCCATGAATACCCCTGCAGATAACACTGGGGCTTTTGACTGAATCTTGTCAAGAGCAGAACAGGATGATTGTTTCCCTCATCAAAGGCCTGGACCAGGGAGCTCAAGGACTTTAAAAGGAGCATGAGAGATGCAAAAGGAGAGGCAGTGGATGAGACACTGAGTAAAGTAACAGAAGACAGCTCAAGGAATCAGATATTAAGGCTGAAAGAGAAAAGGGAAAAGAAGCAGCAGAAAAAGGCCACAAAAGTGTTCTGTGAAAAGGAAAACAACTTGTCAGTGGAACAGGCAGCAGGAGACAGGCTCCCCTCCTCTCCCTCTCACTGCCAACCAGCTCAGAGACTGAAGCAGGAGACACACAGGGAAAGGGAGATTAGATGATATAGGTTTGAGCAGAAGCAACCTAAAACCTGTAGGATTTCCCCAAAGGGCCTTGGGCTTTGCTGTGTTTTCTCCCTGCAGACATTGATGTGCAGAGCTCCAGAGCCACGGGGCTCCTTTCAAGTTGCAGCTTCTGTTGGAAGAGTCAAATTGGCTGTGGTGGTGAAATTCCACATTGTCTCTGTTATCAGGCACCAAACCCAGGGAGACACCTCTCTGCCTGTGATGTGGGGAGAAGGGGAGGCACTGGGGAGGTGCAGGGGTTGAAGTCCTGGCACTGCTGAAGTCAGAGAAACTCAGTAATGAATTGGGGTTTGGTGCTCAAGCCCAGGGTTTCTCTAGGAAATGGTATAAAGGGACAGCCAGCAGTGCAAGGCCCCCCTTTCAGAGAATCAGAGAACCATTAAAGCTGGAAAATACCTCTAAATCATCAAATCCAACCCTCCACTGCATTCACAAGTCCTCAAGTTCCACATCCACATAGTTTTTGAACACTTCCAACGATGGTGACTCCACCTCTGCCCAGGGAAACCTGTTCCAATCCTTTCCAACCCTTTGCAGGAAGAAATTTCTCCTAATATCTAATCTAAACCTCCCTTGGTGCAATTTAAGACCATTTCATCTGGACCTCAGCGGGCTGATGGTACCTCTTCCTTTAGATTTGAAAAATAAGAAGACCAGAAATATTTAGGACTCTTCCAGCCCTGGTAAACGACACAGAAATTTTAAATGTTTTCACTGAAAAAGGTTCTGTATCCTCTTGGTTTTATTCCTTGAGAAATTAGTCAGATATCCCAATATTTTTTCCTGTTATTCAAACAGAATCTGTGTGTGGTGCAGGTTCTGTGGCAAACAACCTGCTCAGGTTATGAACTGACTGCACAATTTCCTGAAGTGCTTGAATTCTAAAACAAACAATAAAACTATAAAATATGACTTTAATTACTTACATAACCAGCCATTGTCAGACTATAGCATATAAAATTAGGGTGTAATATATCACAGGTAATAATTAAGGAAGTATTATGCAAAAACCTACCACATTCTTGAGAATTATGAGCCTTTTTCAGTTAAATATGTGGAGTGACAAAAGATTTTGTCAAAATCTGATGCTTCCAACATATTTTAACTGTTCTATTATGATAAGCACTATTGCTTCAATACTTTCTGTGAATATAATTGGGTATCAGGGAATTTATCACCCATCTAACAGATACACACATTCTAAT